AAGAGCAAAAGGCAGAGAGGTTTTACACTTATGAAGAGAACCATTCTGTAGAGTAAGTTTGGGCCAAGAAGAAAAACAACATACGCTCTACAGCTTGGGAGCAGAGGACCAGGCAGAACAGGGCAGCACCCAGCTCAGCGGTGACTGTCCTTTTGTATCTCCCACTCCGCAGGTGACATTTGGCCTCTTCCATCCCGGAGAAGACAGCGCTGTCTGTTTGGTTCCACCGGTTCGGGAACTGTTTTGTACCTGTGTCCTGGCTCTTTGTAATTGAGAGATCAGGCCCACTGCCCCAGACAGCTTGCCAGGCCCTTAATCTCCTGACCTCAGGTGTGAGAGTGAGGGTTAGATAGAAGGTAAGACTCTTTACCCCTCACCTGTTGACAGAAGTCCAGATGGGTAGGGAGGGAGACGCCCACCGCTGTGGGAAATGAAGTGGAGGGTCAGCAAGCTAGCTTGGCTGCTCACAACTCTATTCTCTTTCTGGTGCGTACATGAGAGCTGGGGGTGTAGTTCAATAATGGAGCACACGCCTAGCAAGCGGGAGGCCCCGGGTTCGATCCCGGACCTACCCCAGCCACTTTCCTAGGCTCATTGGGTTGGCTGTAAGCGTTTACATCGGTAGGGGCGGCTCCTTTACTGCCCACCCTTTTGGAAACATCTCAGTGCTTATAACTTCCTAACTAGGGGAGTGCTTTTCACTAGGATGAAACGCCGGTTTCTAGACATGCCCGGGCAGCCGGGAGGCCGAAAGCTCGGCAGCTCGCCAGGCACTCGGCCAACGCCGGGCCTCCAAGCCCAGCCCGTGGCCCGCGCGTGCGCCTCGGGACGCGCCTGGCCGCTGGGGCGGGGCTTCCGGCGGTGGGGGCGCATGCGCCCCGGCGGCCCCGCCTGGTTCCTGGGAGGCTGGCTGCGGCGACCGTGGCAATTTGGGGTGCGCGTGGTGCAGCCGCGTTGTGCGGGGTGAGTGTTAGGCAGCCCGGCTGGCTGTGGTCCTGCCTGGGCTTCCCGGGAGGCCGAGGCCCCGCGCCCCTAGGTTCTGGCCGCCCCGAAGAAACCCGGCGGCGGTGCCGGGAACGTTGCTTCCGGCGGGCGCACCTGCGCCCGGAGGTGACGTTTCGGTGCCCACCTGAGCTGCGGGCTGGGGGCGCTGGGTCTGGGGTTTGTGGGGCTCGTTAGGGGAGACAGGCTGCTGCTCACTGTGCGGTGCACTTCCGGGCATGTGTGAGGGACAGTCGGCTGGCGCACGTCGTGGGCCCGCGGCCGCGGAGCGTGCGGGGACCACGGAGCCGTCGCCCCCGCGCCCTGGCCTGGTTTCCCACCGTACCTTCTTCCCCTCCTGCACCCTGCCCCAAGCTGTCGTTCTTCTCGAGTATCCCCCCAGTGTGGCCTCCTCGATCCCTCTATTGCTATCCCCAGTATCCTAGCCCGGCTGGGCTTTTAGACGCGAATTGGGCCGTGCCGTCGTCGTCGCCCTGCATAAAAGCCCATGTGACCTGTGACCTGGTTCCTCGGCGCGGAGGCGCCGAAACTCTGCTGCTCTGGCCGGCCGTCAAGTCCGTAGTGCCAGGACTATGAAAAGGGACAGTTGCCCCATGATGAAGCTTGACTGTGTACTGTACGATACTCTTTAGGATTTACACGGGGGTGGGGTGGGGGGTTCATCGGCCAACCCAAAGGAAGAATATCTTTTATCCCCCGCCTTCTGTCTTCCCAGGTTCACCAGCTCTTCAGCACTGGCCTGACCTATCTCATCGTGAAGTGTTCGCTTGTGGCCTCGTTAAAAGCCTAATCTTGCTGCGGATGCTCCCTCAAATGTTACTTCATCAGAGAGGCGCCTCAGCCTCACACCTGTCTCTGTGATTTCAGTTAGGTTTCTCTCTCTCTCTCTCTCCCTTTTTTTTTTTTTTTATCCCTCAGCTTTTACTTTAGTTGCTGTCCCGAGTCTTGTAAATTCAGGGCCCTTTGTTCTGTTCTGAAAAGCCCCATCGGTACACTTTCCCTGGGCCTGCTTATTACTGAAGGAGAGTTACTCAGTACTGGAGTGTTGGTGGTCTATGGTTTTGGGGGGCCAACCTCAGGTACCCTCAGTGTTTGTTACCCATCAGTGCCTTTTGTCTGCTAACAGACATCTGTTCTAGACTCTTCTCCAGCCCCCATCTCAGTTTTGTTCCCTGACTCAGGAGCTGCCCAGATTTCCTACTTCATGGGATATTTTCTCTGTGGTCTACTTCAGCTTCTTTTTGTTCTACACAGATTTAGGTATATGGGGAGTCATCGTTCTGCCACTGCCAGAGAAAGGTGTGTCATGCCTTCTGGTCTCTTCCACTGCGGTCCCGTGCAGGTGCTCAGCTTTCTGTGTAGGTCCTCTCCCATGTCGGTGCCAGCCGTGGCATTCTCTGGTTCTTCTTCCCCCACCTTCCAGCACACCCATTGCTACTTTATCACTCCAGTTGTCTCTTTTCCACAGCCAAACTCCTTAAAGGAATGGACCACCCCTGATGGCCTCCATTGTCTTGTCTCCTGCTGACCTGACAACCCACTACAGTCCGGTGTTTGTCTCCATTGCTCCACTGAAATGTCTTTTACTGAGATAACAAGTGACCTGCTAGTGTCCAGATCTGATGCACCCTTTCTGGTTTCCTTAGGTGAACATGCTCTATCATTTCCCACTTTTAATTATTCCCTTTTTCTCTTTTATCAGTTTCTCCCAAACTTCATCGTTTTAACCTTGTCTTTGTACTGCAATATTAATAATCTCGGTTGAATAGACAATATTTAACTTAAATCCTGTATGTGTGCAAGTAAAAAACAGAAGTATTGAATTCTAATTCTTAAAAGATTGGGACACCAGGCTTAGCCTTCCTCCTGAAAAGTAATCAAAAGGCTCCCCCAGAGGAAGGATTTTACCCCTGCTTTGTTCACCTCTAACCTTGCCAGTGTTACCCAGATCCCTGACATGGGGTAGAGCCTCGTAAACTCTGGAGCTGCTGCTCCTGATGTGGCCCCACATCCTACTGACCTTTCCCTTGAGCTCAAATTTGCATTCTGATTGAACACTGGGACAAAGGCTCCTTTCCACCCCCCACCTTTTTTTTTTCTTTTTTTTTTTTTCTTTTGAGACAGGGTCTCACTGTGTAACACAGGCTTGCTTTGAACTGTATGTCCCAGGCTGGCCTTGAACTTGAGATCCTCCTGCCTCAGTCTACCTAGTGTTGGGATTACAGAGATGTGCCACTGGCAGAAAATGGCTCCAAGAGACTACTAAAACATGCTGTAGTAAGCACCTGTCTTCCTCCATGCTTTTTATGTGTAAGTTGAGATAGTCTCCTTCAACTCAGTCTCCTTCAACTTTACAGAGGAATGAAGGCAGCGTGCATTCTGGAAACTATATAGTACTTTGAGTTTTGCTGTTTTCTCAGAATAGTGATGTGCTGTGCGATCCTCATTTAACAGCGTTGGGGGACAGTGGGAGCTGCAGACTCGTTCAGTTGCAAGATCCAGGGCTGCTGAGAAAGCCAGCACCCAGCCCTCTGTGGGGTGCTGCTGTCTCTGGAGTATTTACTAGAACTGCTGAGCAGAGGTCCCATGCATTTTACATCTTGACAGCTGTTGATAAATTGTGCCTAGAAAGGCTAATTGGCTTACTCCCTCTCTCCTGAAGTATGTGATTCCTCCTTGTCTGTATTGTGTAGTATGTCTGCTAGAGTGAGAGGAGAGAAATTATATTATATATTGAAATAGTTATTTCTGAGAGCATCTTAATGAATTGTTCAGAGATTCTGATTTGTGTAAGACAAAGCTGCTATTCTTTAGATGTTCAACATAACAGTTTTGTAGTGTGAGATTCGTGCTGCAGTCCTCCCTTACCTCACTGACCCTGTGTGTTAGAGGCAGTGGTGCTACTGCAGTGTAGATGATTTGTGCCTTGGAAGCAGCCAGACCACTCCAACTCTTTTGGAACAGTCCCTGGATCTCGGGATTGGGGTGCTTCTATTGTGCTGCTGCTCAGCTGGCTGCCCAAGTGCCCTTTGTTGATGTCACTGCATTTCGTCTTCTGGTTGATTTTTATTATTAGAAGACTTATAATTTGGGTCCCTTAGGAAATTAATACTTGGAAAATTGAACTTGTGTAAGCAGGTTATCACCTGATGAATTGAAAAGTCAGTTTATTAATTATAAAATATTTTAAAAACTGTAATGATCAATGTGGCCGTAGCCTTATCATATTTTTTCCTCTTCCTTTTAGACTGTAAGGAATGCCAAGTGAAGGAAGCCCCCACTCCTGTTCGACTCAAGAGCAGGAGCGTTTGCAGAGTCTGCCTGTCAGAGCTGATGAAGAAACACCCATGGAGCAGGAACATGATGGTGCTGCAAAGGTGGGGGAGCACCTGCCTTCTCCTTCTCTCCCCTCCGACTGTGAGCCATCCACCTCTGCTGAGGGCTGCATACCAGCAGCTGTGAGGAGAGGCCCGGCCCTACTGCAGATCGACAGACATCAGATCCCGGCCGTGGAGCCCAGTGCACAGGCCTTGGAGCTGCAGGGCCTGGGTGTGGACGTCTATGACCAGACTGTGTTGGAGCAGGGTGTGCTTCAGCAGGTGGACAGCGCCCTGCAGGAGGCCAGCCATGCAGCCCAGCTTGCAGATGCTGAGAAGGAGTATCAGTCAGTCCTGGATGACCTGAAGTAAGTGCTGCCCTCTTCTCTTTCAGAGTTTATGTGTAAACATGGTAGGGAAATTCAGGGAAGAGAGTTGTAATGTTCCAGCAACTGAGGCTTTTATTCAGGGGACAGAGGAAGTATGGATAGCCCTCCCCTCAGGAGCAGTGTTGCCCAGTTGGAGGGTTAAGTCCAGCTCAACAAGGCATATCTTGTGCTTGTGTAGCATCCTGAAGAGAGAGCTGTCTGGAAGCACTCGGACGCATAGGCAGGTGGCCCCAGGAGAAGGGTGCACCTTCAGTAGTTACCTGCTTGAGATACTGGGAGTATGTACTGCCCCCACATCACGTCACATTTTGCTGTATCCTCTGGCTTCCTCCCAGCTTGCTGTCCTCAAGCTGAGTGTCCAGTCCTTTGACAGCTTTTCAGATTTACATTTTTAAAAACAGTGGGAAAGAACTTTCTGCCTTTCCTTTCTTCTGTCCTTCTTTGAGGGTACGGTGGGGAGGTGGTAAGGTGAGCCTATAGGGTATTGTTCTGGGCAGGGGCAGCAGATGAGAGAGAGAAGTGGAGGCCTGGGTGTGCCTGGGGATGGAGGGTGGGAGCTGATGGCTACCAGCAGTACGGTGGTGGCTGTTGGCACTTCAAGGAGCTTTCTGCTAACAGTTTTCTGCTGTGTCTGTCCAGCTCCTATTTTGTTGTTGGCCATTAGGATAATAGGTGCTCTTCTGTAATTACAACATGACTTTGCGTGTAGAGGGCCCCAGCTCCTAATAATGACACATCTTTTATGATGATACAAAATATGTAGAACAGTAGAGACAGAGAGAATACTTCAGAGGCCCAAGCAGATTGACACTGTGTTGCAGTGACATTTGATGCCTTAAATGGCCAGTACTTGCACTGTTTATTCTGAAATTCACAAAGGATGCAAAGAGCAAATTGTAAAAGTGTCCAAAAACTGGATTTGTATTTTGGAAATTGTAAAATGTAGCTCTCTGGTGTCTGTTTCAGCAGTACTTTATTTTATGTTGATTTTCTGTCCTTTCACACCACAAAATTTAATGCTGTGGTAAATGAATCTTCTAGTTGTGTCGAAGAAGAGATCTGTCATAGATGTATGATTTATATACGAGAATATTTAAATATTTCTGAGACTTTTTCCAACTTTGGAAGCCTTCCATAACAGGTTTTAAAACCCTATGTGTGCTTTTCTTTATATAAAAGGACAACTTATGGTACATTGTCCGAGAGAAATGTTTTGAATAAAATAGATACTTAAAAAATACACAGGTATGGTGAGCAAGGCATCTTTGAGTAAGTGTGTAATTCTCACAGTTGGGAGGCTAAGGTAGAAGAATTGCTGTGAATTGTCAAAAACAAATTCCTTGTAGAAGGGATGACTATCTTTATAAATGGGAATGAACTGATCTAAATTAACCAGAGAAGAAAAATGTTAGTAATTATCTTAAATTTCTAACCTGTTTGTGGGCAGTAAGAATGTGTATTCTTAGTTTTTTTTTTTCAGCTTTAGTTCCTAACAAGTAAAAGAGACATATTTTTACCATTTTTCTCTGTATTGTGCTATGAGAAATATTAACATAGTAGGACATAGACTACGTATCTTATTTTTCAGGTCATGTACAACATCTCTGAGGCAAATTGATAAAATTATTGAACAACTCAGCCCTCAAGCTGCCACCAACAGAGACATCAACAGGAAACTAGATTCTGTAAAACGACAGAAATATAATAAGGTGATTCCAAGTGATGCATTGAGTATTACATTTTTGAAAAGTCATCAGCTAAGCTCACTTAATAATTTAGCATATTTATATCTATGAGGGGGAAAGCAAATATGTTTAGTTATACTAGAAATTTTGAGTTGCTTTTGTATGTTTATTCATCAGCTATTTCCTTGTCACATGCTCTGTTACACAGTATATTTAAAAGCCCACACACATATACTCCTGCCTGTGTTTCTGTATCCCTGTACAAGAGGTCCCCATGTGGCTTTGTGGCCTCCTTTCTCCTGGGCCTACCTCAGTCTTCCTGCATCAACTTGCTCAGCTCCTGCTGGGCCTGCGAGATTCGCACTCAGTCCTGTTTCTAGTGTACTTCCTTTTTCTGCTTAGCTCTTATGTGCATGGATTGTTTCTGGTGATGGAACCCCCATACACATCCCCTCTGCTTTCTCTCCTGAGAGCCTGGCCCTTCATCCTGACCTGGGCTCTGAGCACCCAGCCACACTCGGGCTGTACTCAGGGCTGTCAAAGATGTTAAGGTGATGTTTTTATGAGGTTTGAAACTCTTTAGGAGCTGTGTGCCCTTTTCTGGAAATACTTTGCAGTAGAAAGGAATGCCTGGTTTTGATTATTTGGGTTCTGATGGCGTCCTTAGGTCACTGTGCTCCACCCGTATTGGTGTGGACCAACTCCCTTCATGTGGCCCTCCTTTTCCTTCCACCCCTGCCTCTCTTACCTTGAAAGTAGCAGTCCAGATGGCAGAGCCCGCAGTAGCCCAGAGCACACAGGGTCCCACAAACTGGACAGGGCACGTTTAGCCTCCTGTGGTAGCATGTGAATTAAATTGATGGGCAGGCACCTTTGACCTTTGGCTTCTGGTAGACTGGTATTTCCAGAGTGGAGAAGACCAACCTTGGCCCCTTGAGGTCCTGCTCTAACTTAGTGATATGTTCCTGTCTTTAGCAGCTCCTCAGTGTTCAGAGATAGACTGTTCAGTGGGAAAGTGGGATTTAGCTGACAGAGAAGCTAATAAAAAACACATGGCAGGTCACTGGCAGGTTCTATTTACATTTAGGGTTTCCCCTTGGTCTATATTCATATTTGGAGTTGAAACATTTTGTATATATGTAGTGCTGGGAATCCAATACATGCTCCTCTACCACTAATGGAGTGGAAATTCTTTTTCCTGTGAAAAGGGGCTGTGTACCCCAGGCTCAGTTAGCTAGGAAGCTGAGTTTTGATGATGTCAATGGAGACAAGACAGAGAGGCATCTTGGGCGTGTAATGACACACAGCAGAGTGTTTGTCTTGACAGTTTTGTGGCTAGGCTGAATGATACAAAGGACATCATAAATATTGTAAGTTATCAGAGGAAAATGACTTAATTGACATTTATGTTTGTGTTTCTTATCTTGGTGGCCTGCTACCCTCCCATAGCCCATTGGCCGGAGAGCCCAGAAACATGAGAATTTCCTTTTGTGTGCGGTGTGTCACAGGGGACCAAGTAGGACAGCCCCACCCCCTAGTCAGTACAGTAATGCAAGTCTTGGGCACGTAGAGAGCTGGTGCCAAGCCATGCGGAGGGGCTTGCTTCAGAAAGGTAGGAGTTGCCCAAGTAAAGTTCTTGATAGTGATGGCCACGTGGGGTTTATGTTTCATTTGTACATTACTCATGATTATAGTTTTAAAATTTCGTGGCGGTACCATTTTTTATTTAACAACCAATCCCTGCCTTGCTGTCTTCTGCTTCTGGTATTTACAATCAAGGAACAGCAGCTGAAGAAGATCTCAGCAAAGCAGAAACGCCTCCAGGCCATCCTCGGTGGAGCGGCACTGCGAGTAGAGCTGGACTACGGCAGCCTGGAGGAGGAGGAGGCTGCAGGTGAGGATGCTGGCAGGAGTTTCCCCAGGTCCATGAGTCGGGGCAGTGCAAGGTGTCCTCTGGTCTTTGCCTGGGCTTTGAGAAATGGAGCAAAAGCAAAACATGCATTTCTTTGGTTTAGTGTCAAAACGGACTTAGGAAATTTTATCTCCTGCAGCATCAAACCTCTTGAGTCGTATGGCGTTTTTAGAGAATAAAAGTAAATTTTTATCTCTTCACCAGAGGCTGCTGACATACATTTTGTTTTACCTTTATTTTTTATTTTTTTAAAATTTAACTTTTTAAATATCTTTTTTCATAATTTTATTGAGAAATAAATAGCAATGAGAGAGTTTCAGATCAAATTGGTAGGACAGTTCCAATAATTAACACATTGCATACTCTCTTCCTAGTGGTTATTTGTTGTACAAGATGCAGACATGATATCCTATTTACAAACACTATTACAACAAATCCCTCTATTTATTGAATTAAGAGAATGTAGCTGTATATCTATCCTAACCGTTTTGAATACACATACAAAATCATCATTCATCTGTATCCCCCTTTTTTTGTTTAGTTCCGTCATTTAAATATTATAGGTGTGTAAACTCAGCAAAATATTCCAAAATAGTTCAGTAGACCATATGTTTTACCTTTAACAAACTGGAAATCTTGAGCATTCTTCTGTTGTTAGATTGATAAAGACAGCTAACCTCTTGGTTGAGTTACGTTTTGGATGCCCAGCATCATCAGGCAGCGTCCGCAGAGCTGCTCTGCATCGCTTTCAGGAGCGTGTCAGCAGGCTTTCCAAGACGCCATTCTGTTAAAAATCCTTTGGGTTAAACTACTGTGGCCAGGGTTTCATTGACATTTCTGCAGAGGATGGCTGTCTTTGGGAAGAGCTTTTAGGAAAATGTGTAAGCTCTAGAACTGGCTGTTGTTTTGTTTTTTTTGCGCTGAATGCCTTCAGGGCATGAGTGGCTGGCTTGAGTTGTGGGGATCTAACCACAGCAACCTGAGCCTGACTGCTTTGTTGAAGCAGCCACTTAAAGAACTGAGCTAAGGGGCAGGCTCCCAAGAACTGAAAGTTTTTTTTCAGGGGTTTGTGTATGTGTGTGTGCCTGTGTTTGTGTTCAGAAATTGTTTGAGGTCATTAGTGCTTGAAATATAGATCAAGACTTCTTAATGTTTAAGGTTTCTGAGCAAGTATTTTCTTCAGCTCCAGGGTTAATTGCTCAGACAAGAGAATTGTTACAAATAACTTTTTTTTTTTTTTTTTTTTTTTTTTTTTTTTTTTTTTTTTGTGGAACCAGGGATTGAACTCAGGCCCTTGCGTTTGCCAGGGAAGCGCTTATTCAACTGAGCCGTCTCCCTGGCCCTGTTATAAAGAACTTAGCAACAAGTCATAGAAAAAAAAATACTGGATGTGCTTTTAAAGTTCAGTCTCACAAGATATGCTAGTCCTGACTAGGGCTTTCTGCCACTGCAGTATCATACTGTCCTTGGTGAGAGGCACTTGTTCCTTTCTAGTTATATAAGACCTACTGTGTCTCGCTTTGGTAAAACTGTCCAGTGTTGCTAGAGGGTTCTTCACATCCAAGGGCCTCTTCGTCCTCACTTCCTTTAGCCTGTCCACAGTCACTGATGCTTCTTCTGCCTGCTGGAGCCTGTCTCCTGGGTTCCTTTACACACTCCAGTATTGCATTGTTGAGATAAAATCAAATTGTATTGCTGTAGATAAAAACAAATAACTAATCTGGGTGAAGTGACATGTGCCTGTAATCCTAGCTAATTAGGAAGCTGAAATGGGGATTACAATTTCAAGGCCAACTTGGGTAACTTAGTAAAATCCTGTCTTAGAATTAAAAAGGGGAAGGAATATAGCTCAGTAGTAGAGTGCTTACCTAGCATGCTCTTGGTCCCTGTATAGAAGAAAAAAACCAAAGAAACTCTGTATATAAACTTAGCAAAATTACAGTTTTCTGCAGTGTTTCCTACATTAAAAACTGTGTCATTGGAAAATGCAAGAATAAGTAAAGGGAGAGGTATACTATGATCATGGGTTGGGAGATGGGGTGTATGTCGTTCTCCTAACCAGCTATAGTTTCAGTGAAATTCTAATATAAACTTCAGGTTTTTGTTTTTTTGAAGGCAAATGGCATGAAGAAGGAGGTGTAAGTTAAGGGTAGAGGTCATTAACAAGATAATTTTAAAAATTTGTATATAGCTCATTGATCCAGAATAGCCTGGGCAATTTGTTGTTTTTTTTGTTTTGTTTTGTTTTGTTTTTTTGAGATAGGGTTTCTCTGTCCTTGAACTTACTATATAGCTAACATGGCCTTGAACTCCCAGTGATCTTCCTGCCTCAGCCTCCTGAATGCTGGGGCAGGTGACCTCAAAGAGGAACAGATGTCAAGGTTTGTCAGAAAGCTTTAGTCAAACAACAGTGTTTTTAGCACAGGAATACACAGGCTGACTGGCGGGACAGAACAGCAGCGCAGCCAACAGGCCCAGCTGCACCTGCCTACCTGACCTGTGACAGTGGAGGCCAGCAGTGCCGTAGAGAAGATCCCAGTTATGCTGTGTTAATTCACATGAAAACATAGTGAAACCTACTACACTATGCACAGGAATATGAGTAAATTCTAAGCATACAATGGATCTGAATACTAATGGCAAAATAATAAAGCTGTTAGACCATAACATTGAGCAAATATCTTTTATGATTGGGGTAGGCAGGGACTTAAAATACAAAAATCTCTGTGAAGGATCAAAGTTTTAAGTATAGTGTATTTTTTAAAAATTCATTTTACTGAGAAAGAAAATAGCAATGAAACAGTTTCAAAACAGGCTAGTAAGACAATTACAATAATACATTGTGCATAAGTATATTGTATTAAAAAACTAAGCCTTCTGTTTGCATAAAGGTAGTGTTTAGAGAATGAAAAGATGCACTGGCCAAATAGCTCCCTAAAAATACAAAAAAAAAAAAAAGGTAAGCTGCAGAGTGGGGAAGAACTTGCAGAATATGTGCAAATCAAGAGACTTAGGTCTAGAAGGTTTGAAGAACGAGACTTTTTAAGGCAGACAAAAATGGGTCAAAGACTTGAGCATTTTGTATACAAAAGAGTAGTCATCAGGAAAATGCACATTACGACCACAGTGTGGCCCCACTGCACCTACAGGAGTAACCAAAGTGAAATATAAGGGTTTGGACGGTTGGAACTATCAGTGAGTGGAACTTAAAATAGTGCCAATTTGCGAATCTCTTTTGACATTATCTAGTAAAGCTTAACGTGGAGAATTACACCTTTATCACCAAGATGTGTATGAGAGGATTCATATCAGCATTATTTGTAGTAGCCAGACCTGGAAACCACCCAGATGTCCATTAACAGTGGAAATGGAGAAATTACCCTGTGGCCATATAGAATATTAGTAACAGTTAACCAACTGCCATTTCATTCAGCAGATACCAGTATGCGTCACTCAGCCTAATGCTGAGTGAAAGCAGGTGGAGACAGGAGTGCACACTATCCATTTGCAACACATCAGAGCCAGATACAACTCATCCAGCATTGTCTCTGGGTTTTCTGGTGATTGTTGTTACGTGATCTGGGTGCTGATACAGGACTGTGTATTTTCTGAGTATTTACTTAGCTTACAATTTGTGCTCTTTGTTCTACATTTTAGTGCAAGTTTAATGAAAAACAGGCTGTGGTACTAATAATGGGCTGCAAGACCTGTAGATTTTAGAATTCAGATCATTCATTACCTGTTTAGCTAGGGGGCAGTTTTACCAATGAGGGAGGAGGTGTGATTTCTGGATGACTTCGTACTTGCTGTGGAATACCTTCCTGTTTGTTGTTGGTTCCCATACCTAACGCAGAGCTGCCCAGCAGACCTTCGGCAGTGAGGGGAGCGCACTTTGTGTTGTCTGTGGTAGCCATCAGCCAGGTATCTTGAGCATTGCCATGTGGCAAGTGCAGTTATGAAACTCAGATTTTAGCTAATCTAAGTTTAAATAGCCAAAGGTGACTGGTAGCTACTGTGTTGAGAACGCAGAGCTGACGTTTTGCTTTTCCTGTTTAGGTACGTGCTGTTTCCCTAGCTATCTGCTTTCAGTTTTATTGTCTCTTGAACTGAGGTCCCTCTGAATGTTAGTGATTAGCAACGGCCTGGAAGCTGTGGAGGCTGTTCTGGGATACTCTTTGGCTGATAAGGAGACATGGTTAAATGTATCCGTAACTAATGTATGTACTAATAGGCCTATCTGGATCTACAGAGAGTGTATTTCTAATGTGATAGTTTTATTTGAATTCAAATTCATTGTAACTGATACATAAAAAGATAAAACATGTATGGCACTGTGATATTTTGATACATGTATATTTTGTGTAATGTTTAAAAGGGCTGGACATGTCTGTCTCCCCAAACATTTATCATTTCTCCATGTGGTGACTTCCGTCCAGCTTTTCCAGGTACATTCTTGTTGCTGTATCATCCTCCTGTGTGATGGCACACCTGGACTTCCTGCCGACAGTGACTTCGTGTAGTCTGCATGTCGGCAGAACCCATCTTTCCCTCCCAGCACCCTCTCCCCAGCCCATAGTGACTGCCATGCCACCCTCAACCTCTGAGGTTCCGTGCCTGAGTGAGGTCGTGCCTGCTTGTCTTACTCAGTGGGCTTATGAGAGCCCTTCGTTTTTGGATATGACTGATTAATGTTCGTACTACATTTATACTGGGGATCGAACTCGGGACCTTGTGCTTGCCAGGCGGGCACTTATGCCACTGAGCTATGTCCCCAGCTGAAATCACTTTTTTGAGCAGTAGTATATTAAATATGGCATGATAACTGCTACCGTGCATTGTGCTATAAGCTTTAGCGCACTGAACTTAGAAGGAGTTCTTGGTAGCTGCTTCCTATTGATTGAAGAAGTGTACATTTCTGATGTATTCTGGGAAGTTTGACGCTGCTCTGTATGTCCCTTCTGTTTCAGAGCCAGGCCCATCCTGCCTTGGTAGCATGCTCATGCCTGCCCAGGAGACCGCCTGGGAGGAGCTCATCCGCACTGGCCAGATGACACCATTTGGTACCCAAGTCCCTCAGAAAACAGAGAAAAAGCCTAGAAAACTAATGCTTAATGAGGCATCAGGCTTCGAGAGGTATTTGGCAGATCAAGAAAAACTGTCTTTTGAAAGAAGGAAGCAAGCTGCCCATAAAAGAGCATCCAGAAAAGCCTCAGCCTCCGTCAAGTCTGAGCCAAGTGCAGGATCAAAAGAAAACAAACCAAAGCAGAGAAGCAAAGGTCTCTCGAATACAGACCGGCGCTTGAAGAAGCACATCAAGAAGCTCCAGAAGAGGGCGCTGCAGTTCCAGGGGAAAGTGGGGCTGCCCAGGGGGAAGAAGGCCCTGGAGATGGAGGTGAGGCCGCAGCAGGCCCAGGGAGACTCTGAGAGTGAGGAGCCCGGGTCCTGCCCCGTGGAGTGGGAGGAAGAGGGAGACAGGGAGGAGGTAGGGGCTAGCCTGTCCGGAGATGGCGCAGACTGTGAGCAGAGGCCTGTGCTCAGGGGCCACAAACACCAGAAGAAAGGCGCAGTGCAGGAGAGTGATGATGACTTTTTCCCGAGTTCTGGGGAAGAAACTGAAGCCACTGAAGACCAAGGAAGAACAAGTCACAAAGTAGTGAGGTGCCGTGATGATGGCGATGAAGAGTATTATAAGCAGCGGCTAAGGTCAGTCTACAGGGAGTGGAAACAGGCCATTTTCTCGCTTGGTGCTAGGTGTTGGTTTAGTACTGTGTGAGAATTGTAGGTGGCTACACTCTGCTGTACCCCATTAGTGCCAAGGTGGGACTTCCACAGCCGTCCTTCCTGTGGCTGACCCAAAGGTTCTTCACTCAGATCAGAGCATGTCTTGGAGGGAGAGGCTGGGACAGGAAGATGGAGAGGACCAGAGTGTAGCCATGTGGCCTGTACTGTGGTCACCCTGAAGTGAGTGCCAGGGCAGGCAGAGATAGTTACATTGTCTGTTACTCCTGGTGCGGTGGGGGGATGCTATTTTTGTGCTTTTGTTTTTCTTTTGAAGCAGGATGTGTACTGCAGAGGAGTGAAGTTTGCTTTCTGAAATACCCCCTTCTTTGCCTTGAGAAAAATCAACCTTTGCCGAATCATAACCACCTTCGTGACAGAAGTGTACTTGATATTCACAGCATCCTTCCATTTCACAGTTGTTTACACCAGAGCCTGACTCCTGCGGCGAGCACGTGTGATGCTGTGACGTAAGGGAGGGCACAGGGAAGTGAAAGTGTGTGGTGTGAAGTCACGGTCACCGTGGCCATGTGTCCTGCACGCCAGAAAGGCAGGCCGCACACTGCAGCCTCTCTGCCAAGTCCCCAAGCACCTCGCATGCATTAACTCTGGGAATTGTGAGGAAGTCAGGGAAAGGGTTCACAGTACTTCTAAAATATATAACATGAAAATGGCTATTTCTTAGTCCTCAGCAGTTCTCTATTTCTAAATGGAAGGAGACCTACTATGCTGTATTTCTCGTAGCTTTCCGCTGGCCTTCATGAGTAAAGGCTGACTGGCTATTTTTCTTTCATTGTTGACAATTGCTCATGACTCAAATGCAAATCCAACCTTCTCAAAGTGGATGCACTGGTGGTGTCCAGCTCTTAGGCAGTACTGTGTAGCTGAGTGGCTTCTATTTGTCATTTCCTCTGCAGCTTTAGTTACTGTACACACTGCATGTGTGTAACGTTGTTAGAGAAGTATTGCTCAATACTCTTGGACAGTGAGTACTGTTGGTCCTTTTCTGAAGTACTGTAGAATATTAATAAAAGTGTTAATCTTTACATATTGATTATAAATGGAGCAATATATATTCTTATTAAAATGAGTCAATGTTAAATATATTTAAAATATAATAGTGTTTTTGATCAAGAACAATTTATTTTGATTGAATTTTAAATATGGGTATAGTTTAATTTCATGGCAATAAGTTTGTCTTAATAATGTTAAGATTGTAAAACAATTTATTATTTCCAAAGCCATATCATAAGCCAGTTTTTTTGCTAAAGTTACAGTAAAACCTCAAATGAATTTCAGAAATATCAATAACTCTAATTGCCACCAAAATACGATAGCTCTTAAAATTTTATAGCTTGTTATTAAGGCAGTTAAGCTGCAGATATCCACTTTGAAATGTCTGTATTACATCTCCTTTGGTACTCTTTGGATTGGGGGATGTTAAAAGAAAATAAAATGTTCAGGATTGAGACGCATATTAAGAACGTTTGACAACTTCCAGTCATTCTGTAAGTTGTTTCTTGTTGCTGATCTTTGTATGTGGTTCAAATAGAAACAGTGTTTCTTTGAGTGAAGAAAAAGGGTTTAGGATTGCTCATGATGACAGATGACCACAGTAAAGCTATCATGTAGTTTATGATACAGAAAATAAACTTATGTTACTGGTCAGAACTTAGGCGCATGTATCTAGGCTGAGACCTTTGGGTAAAGCTTAACAAGTACATGTTGGAGAAGGCAGGTTAGTTATTGTGATCCCTGAAGCTCTTGAAAGTGGGAATAGCTGCCTGCTAGGCAGCTCATCCCCTGTCTTCTTGCAGCCTGAGAGTCATAGGCCTTTCATCCTGTCGGGGTTGTCCTGACCAGGCACCTTTTGACCTGGTGCTTTAGGCAGGTAATTCTCACTAGGCCTTTGCTGTAGCGTGGCCTTTTCTGCAGTGGGGAGTGGCAGTCATCATCTTGTTTTCTGTGGTTTGGCCCAGATCCCCAGGTCAGCCTCGACTGTTGTGACCACATTTTCAGCTCCCACATTTTCAGCTTTCCCTTGCCAGCCTCGGTGGCGTCCTCTTGTGGTCATTGTGCTGGCCCTTAGCCAGGATAGACTGCTGCTCCAAAGTGCATGTTCTGTTGCTTCTTACTCAGGGACATGTGTGCAGTGTCCACTCGTTTCCACTGGGGCATGGCTTTTTCTCAAAATATGTTGAGACTTTAAAAAGCTCAGGCCCAGGAGACTAGGAGCCAGATGAGACCAACGAAGCTAACGTGCATTCAGCATTTCAGTGGTGTGCTTGGTAAGTACCTCATGTTACTTGCATGGTCCAGGCTAAAAGCCACACAGCCCAGAGCCCCCCAAAACCCTAAACTGTCCCCAGCCGGGCAGTCAGGGACAGTGAGACCTGTGTCCAGATGTTGTTACTTCTGGTTGTTGATTGGCTGCCCTGTAGAAATGGAGGTCAGTTTCCATGCTTTCTCTCTGCCCTGCTTTGCACATGCATATCTGTACTTCGAGGCTGGCTTTGAGGGTTCTGTGCACGACTTATGGACTGTTAGTGGGCCTGTGGACAGGTAGGGCCTAACTGCAGGCCATAGTAGATTCAGCTTGAGAGGGTAGTGGAGGCTGGAGGAGACTCGTTCTGGTGCACGGCCTTGACTATTGTATAACTCAGGCATTTGGTATAGTTGTGCAGGTTTAGAACTTTCCACATTTGCTCCTAAACTTCAGGTTTATCACTGAGTGGGAAAGGAGTGCTGGCATGGTGGCCCTGACCTGCTGAGGGACTGTCCACTTGAGGAGGGAGAAGTGTGTGTGCTTCACCTGGCCTGCCATCCCTGGAGGGAGGTCATGTGGCCAGGGCAGGCTGGGGCCCTATCAGTTTACTGGGAGAGAGTGCCACATCGCTTGATGATGTGTGTCCTGTGTGCGGGGATCAGGAAGCGAGCACAGCAGCATTCGTACTAGCTGATTGCCTGCCTTGATGCAGTAGAACAGAAATGTCACCGATTCAGTCCTCTTCCCACAGTGGTCAGCACTGTTTAGGGCGAGTCTCCTTGCTGGGGGGACTAGGGCTAGTATTTATCATTTAGCTCACACCTATGAGCCATTAATTCTGTTTCCACCTGCCAGCTATTAAAGTTGCTCAGGTAACTGCCCCTGCTTCTTAGCAAGGAGCACAGGCATAGATGGAAGCAGAGCGCTCAGCCCACGCTCTGATTCTGCAGAGCCGAGGGAGCCGCACCAGAGGAGGTGCTGGCTTGGGAGGGTCCAACATGGGGTTGCAGGACAGGTCTTTGAGAAAGTGTGCCCAGGCTGTTCTCTTGCATGTCCACTTTGGGGACTCTGAGATGTCTGTGAGTCATGTTTTTTTTTTGTTTTGGGGTTCTTTTGGGGTTTGAACCCAGGGCTCTGTACATGTAGCCAAGTGCTCTACTGCTAAGTTATACCCAGCCTGCCATAAATTGATTTCATATACTTTTTTCCTTTTGGTTTTGTATCTGTTTCTTTGAAATCCTTCATGTGCTCTGTGCAGCGGGTGAGGGCCTGGAGGGAGCCATGCAGTCAGGTGGTTCAGCCAACACTGCACTGAAGTCTACTAAATGGATCAGGCCTCTGGTTCCATGCCTCTGAGTGCCCAGCACACGGGGGCGTAGGCCCGCTGTGGTTGGGGCTGTGGGGCCTGGAGGCGGCAGGCCACAGTCCACAAGAGCTGAGCACTGGGCTCATGCTGCAGTTGAGCTCCACTTATTCCAAGTGGAGGTCTTCTTTGTCACAGACTCTTGTTCAGCAAGAGCTGTGGGGGGTTGGAAAAAGAATTGTTGGTAAGGACATTGGGGCTGGAGGGGTACCACTCTGCGTGCCCTGCAGCCAGCTGAAGGGCTGCTAGGATGAACCTGTCCTTCTTCCCACGCTCACCCTGGTCGGTAGGCACCGTTGAGTTCCAAGGCCAGTTCCTCAGGTGAGCCCGTGGTGGGTGAAGCTGCTGAGGTGCTTCCCAGAAGCCACCAAGGTGGAGCTACTGCAGTGGGAAGGCTTTCCACCCTTGTTCTTCTTCAGCACTTCCAAGAGGCCCTGGCTTTTTAGACTGCGACAGTGTTACTTCCTGAAATTACGCCTGTATTTCTTGTTTGTATTCTTTAGGACTTTAGTCTTTGATTCTCTGCACACATTTCTGCACATTGTTGTAATTAAAGTAGGCAGTACAGGCACTGTACCGTAGTCCTTCCAAGTGAATCAGCATGCCCACGCCTGGCTAGGGGTGGAGATGACTTCTAAAGAGCTCAGTGCCCTGTGACTGCCTTGCTAGGTTGGGGAGGTGCATTATCCAGCTGTGGCCACTAGGTGGTGCCAAGAACCACCACTTGGCTTTCTCCTAAAACCAAGCCAGAAACCTAAGCAAGGGTTTGTCTGAACTGGACAAATGGGGAGATGGCCAGGGAATCTGGAATACCTAACAGGAGCAGTGTGGGAGGGGACAGAATTGACCTCCTGGTTTGGTTTAAACTGAGGCTGTACTATGAGTGTTGCTGTAACTTTCTACTAGTGCATTTTTGCTTTTGAAGTGTTTTTATTTTACATGAATCAAGTTTGAATTGAAAAGGGCTTCAGAGGACTCCATTTTTGTGGAATTCATGTGGAATGTTCACCAATAGTCTGCACTGCCTAGTACTGTTCCTCATTATTCTGCCCAGTGAGCAGCTGGCTGTCTGCACCCAGCTCTGACCTAGGTCCTGGTTTGGAGCGTTGGTGTTATGCATGTAGGATTCTGAGAGGAAGGAGGCTGTCAGCACCTTCACGTGTGGGGAGGGGTCTGGCCAAGTAGCAGAAATGTTGAAGAGAGATTAGTGTGTTTGGAAGGTGGCTGGGCTGAGCCGGCCACCGGGTGTGTGCAGGGGGAGCACAGCCATGGCCGACACGCCTGAATGCTCACACA